GGGCGTTTAGGGCTTTCTCGAGATTCTTAGGACAGGTGAGCACCAACACATTATGCCAGTGAAAATTCTAACTCATGGCACCAACCCCATTCGTAGACTGGTCAATACGGGCTGAGGCCTGCGGGTCGCCCCGCCCCGCCCCGCCCCGCCCCGCCAAAAGAGTGGGTTAGGCTAGGATATTAGAGGCCCGCTGGGGAGCGGGCTTAAACGGGCCAGCCTGCGCGGGCCGCGGGCTTTGGCGGGACGAGTCTGGCATGGCCCGCCTTATTTTAAAAAATATATATATAAACCTATTAAATGTATAATATATTAACTTTAGTTTTTAAGCCATGAAGCCCAATAAAAAAGTAAAAAGAAAGGCCCATTTTTTTCACTTTTGATGAATTGATCGGACAAAATTTTTCCCTTCTTGCCAAATTCATATGAATAAAAAGTAAAAAGAAAGGCCCATTTTTTTTTCACTTTTGATTAATGGATCGGACAAAATTTTTCCCTTCTTGCCAAATTCATATTATCATACATGTCACCGAAAAAGAAACTCCAATTCGCCTATCCCATTTTAAATCAAATTTTGAAAATCAGAGTTTAATTGGTTGAATTTTGCCGAAGAGTTTTAGGGAATCGCCGATTTTGTCTGACTCTGGAGGTGTTCCTGGCATGTGGAGGCTTGTCAGAATCGAGGGAGAGGCGGGAGAGGAGCTTCAGATTTATGGCGAATTTGATGTATTTTTGTTGAGGGAGTACGGAAGGGACGAGGACTTTTGTGAGGGTATAAGACCAGATTTGAGTTAAGCTGCTTTTGCTTCTTTTTTTTTTATTATTATTTTATTTTATTTTATTTTGACGGGCCAGCCAGCCTAGCCCGCGGCCCGTGGCGGGGGTGGGCCGGGTTGGCATTTTGAAGGCCCTCCAAGATGGCGCCCCGCCCCGCCTAACGACGGGTTCCGGCGGCCGGCGGGCTGCGGGCTGGTCCACCCCGCCAGCTCGTTTTGACATGTCTATCCATTCGCAATTACATCAATTATTCGTGTATTAAAAAATAAATAAATAAACATTTTTTACATATTAATATATACATATACTTCTTCTTTTTTTTTTTTTTTTTTTTNTCAACATTGTCTCATCGAAAAATATCTTTTCACCTAAAAAACTCACGATATGATATGCATTACAATAATGGCATATCTAAATGAACTGCATAATTAACCATTATACAATATTTTGTCGCATATATATACCGGTGCACATACAAATCAGACGCATATCAATATTTAATGTCGAATATTTGATGATTGTGCGACATTGTTTTACATAATATACCATTCGCATATTCAAATCTATAACGTTGTGATTAACAATTCTGCGTAGTACTTTCACATAGTCATGAACCGCATATCCGAACCGAAAGTTGCATAGTTAAGGAGTATCCACCATTTTTTTGTCGATAAATATATCGAATCGCATATCAGTCGAAAATGTTTCGCATGATTTACGCACAAATATACACATTGTTTTATTTTACCGTGTGTTCAGAAATAATTATAGTTTTATGATATGGCAAACTTTATTTGCATCTTTTACAATTTCATTTCAATTAATTGCAAAGATGCACAAGATTTTTAGCTCTCACGTATATTGAATGGGCAGTATATATTGTGTTTGTAGTCAGTGTTGTAAGTATTTTTACTGGAGTAGAATCGAAAGATTCGTTCCCCGGGTCGTATCGCAAGGAAGGTTAGCCGGATTCAATCGTACGTTTATTCAATCACGATAAATAGAAAGAAAAATCCTAGACACTCTATTTCAATGGTTTTGGTTTTAATTATAACTAGTGACTTGAAAACAAATGAAAAGCAATTTAAATAGCAAACGAATTTACTCAAATGATTAAAGAGCTAGGGAATCGGGGATAATTGCTTTCGGTTATAACACAACTATCGGCAATCAATTGCTCGGTTAAAGAACTTGAATCGTTTTTCGTCCAGAGGCTCACTCTCAATAACTCTTCGTAACAAGAGAGTGAACGTACACGATCAACTATCAATTCCAACAACTCATAGACAATACTATTACGAACAAGTCTACTCTAAACAAGCCTATATCGACCAACGTCTCCCCTCTCGGTTCTACACGTTGATTAATTAGGTTAGAAAGGTGATCAATCTACTAACCCTAGAATAAGAACTACTTGAATAGATATGAACAATTAAGAACAAGGTATTATAATCGAACCTAATCAATCATCCCCTATCCCTAGCATATGGATTTAGCTACTCATATGGAATTCAACATCAAAACTCATAAAAATCCAAGCCATCATCATCAATCACACAATTGAGAAAAGAAAACTTACGGTTAATAATGATAGTTCAATGTTCAATCCAAAAATATCCAATCCAAAGCAAGGAAAGTAGAGTATTGATCTCCAAAATCCAATCAAAAGAGTAAAAACATCAAAAGGAATGAGTTTCTAGAGAGAAAAAGTGTAAAAATGAAGTTTGGAATGTGAATAATGATGTCTAGGTCGAAATTATGATGTTAAAATCCCGACCTCGAAATTTGCGCCGGTTATCTCGCGATTCGCGACTTAAATCGCGAGTCGCGACTTACACTTTTGCCGAGTCGCGAGTCGCGCATCTTCGAAAAATATTTAAATTCTAGGAAAACTCGCGACCTGACTCGCGAGTCGCGAAATTCAACTTTTCGTCTCTGTTGGACTCGCGAGTCATGACATTCTCGGGAGTCGCGACACTGACTCGCGAGTCGCGAGAAGTTCTGGGCAGCTTTTCGGTCCATTTTTTTTTCGGTCCTTCCTTCAGTATTCTGAGCACGTTAATGTGTCTTCTTGATATCCCGGTCTCAGCTCAAGTAGTCCCGTCCTCGATCAACAAAACCTACCTCCTGAAAACACAAACACGAAGAAAACACGAAGCAAAACACAGCAAAAAGACGCACAAAACGAACTAAAGAGAAAAAACAAAAAAATCACAGAATTGGACCAAATAAACTACGAATATCCTATAAGTGGGAAAACATAAAGAGAAAATAAACCCAAAATAAAGACACAAAAATATGACAAACAGTCAATATATATTAAGAATATACTGCGTTTTTTTATTTACATAACATTTTATAAATTCTGCTCTCAGGTGTTTGAATTTTGGTTTAGTATATTTCATTTAAAGTCAATATATATTACAAACATGTGTAAATTGGTATAAACCCAACATGTGTAAATTAGTAAATTTGTCCGGCTATATAAAAAAAAAAAA